AAGACACAGGGAAGATCTGTGTGAAAGGTGGAGAGACAGTCAGCCATTGAATATAAGATGTGCTCGAGAGGAAAAACGAGGTAATGATTGAAAGCAGTCTATAATAAACACAACACCAGAACAATTGTAAGATCAAGAAGTAAGAATCAAGAATAAATGAAAATCAAGTAAGAAGAATCAATAAACATCACAGAGAAAAGACCATAGCAGTGTCATCAATGTTGTCACACTTGTATTCTGCAATGACTTTGAGAAGGGTATCATGTGCATGACTGTCACCTGTAACACTGCCGGTGTCAGGTAGCGGGTGTTTGTCGTCATCGTCGTCCAATAACATCTGGAACTCCATCTCCTTTTGGGATGCTGCCCAACCTTCAGTAAAGTTAAGTCGCTCTTTTTTCAGGAGGAACTTGACAATCTGTAGGGCCTCCATCAGCACTGGGGAGATGCAATTCCATTTCTTAGTGTCGGTTTCGCTACTTGATGAGAAGACCCATTCGCACGGAACAGCAGAGACCTGTATGGGTAGGTAGTCCATAGCAATAGTGAATATAGTTAAAAAAACAGTCTCAGACACCTGGCCAACCCCTGGTGGTCAATGACAAGAGATGTAACTTGAGGCGCACAACACTCACCTGCCAAAATCCAGGGATATTTGTCCCTTTGCTGCTGAGAGTAGCCATGCTGTATGTCCTGAACTTTTGATCAACTGTTTGGGCACCCTCATTGACATGCAGTGGCATCCTCACATCAGGAAGTCCATAATGTCATGAGCCTAGCAAGTGTGGCTGCTGCCATGGCACTGGAGGCTGGTTAGACTCATTGGGTTTCAATGCTGCTCTCTTGGCGTGCATCTGGGGAATATGAAATAATCAGTGTAATGGTATTGGTGAATTAGATGTACCAAATTGAGTATAAACAACTTGGCCACGTTACTTTGGGCTTCACCCCAATGAGCTTGAACCCACGACATCCGGATTACAGGATCGATAACTATAAAATTATGAGATATCAAACATCACTAACAATTTGCTGGACTGACACATTGAGACAGCATATGCATTTGTGGCACCCATTCACCCATCATACTTATCAGCCCACGTCAAGCCTATCTCGATGAGAGGCATGCAGTGTGGAATAAATGCTGCAATCTCCTTCCACCGCTTGATTAACTCTTCAAAAGCTGGAATTGCGAGACTCAGCACAGGAGTCCTTTCGCTTGACATGATTTGCTAAGCAGCATGGGGCACCTAATATAAAATGGTAAAAAGTATCACAAGTATCGAACACACCAATACTGACCTCTAAGATTACTTTGAGGTCCTCCAAGAAATGCCATTGCATTGGTGTTAGCCTTTTCACCGGCATGGATTGTTTGAGGAATCTATTGAAGGGCTGGGTGACTATTAGTCCATGACAATATTGGGGAAGGGGAGCTTTACCTTGCAGAGGGTCCATAAATGGTTCAGCATAATGTAGGCTGGATCCCAATGCATGGGTTCAAGTACTGTACGTAGTGATGGTGTATTCCAGGTCTCCTTCATGAAGTTCCCTGGTGAAATATGTAAGAAAGAACTAGGAACTCGTAGACATGATACTTACTCACAAAGTTTGCAGACTCGGCAGTTATTGACTTTGTCATCCCTGAAGAAGTGAAGAGAATCTTGAGCAGCTTTGGGCCGCTTGCTTCAACCACCCATAGCATATGGGTCAGTCCGAGTAGTATCAGTAGTTGTTTGAAGTGGGCTAGGTGCTGCTTCATCTTTGTCCTCGTCACTGGAGATATTGAGGTCGAAATATTCCCCCTGATCTGCAGTACGACTTGGACCAGCATGAGTGGGAATGTTGTCTTGGGATCCAATGGGGGGTCGACAGGTTATATGAAGGGTGGTAGCATTTGCTGATGCTAGCACAGCAGTGGCAACAGGGGTGATAGCAGGAATAGCAGGGGTGATAACAGGAATAGCAGGGGTGACAGCAGGGGTAGCAGGGGTGATAGCAATAGCGGGGGTAGCAACAGTACTAATGATTGGGATTGGGCCAGTGGTGCAAAGAGGTTCAGCAGCTGTGGGCACCACAACAACTTGGGCCCTGCCCTGGCCACATCAACAAGGAGGCATGTTGGGGATGGTGAAGATCCAACAACATAATTTGCTGTTTATATACATTTAGTATTGAATCCGGCATGTAAGGCAATGCAATGTGGAAAGGGAAGCAGTGCATTGGCAAAATTTCCTTCATGCAGTAAGTTGGGTATATGTCGACTTGGCTCTAGAGGCTTCTAAATCACAATTAGACGGATGTTGAGTGACATTCATCCTCGGCTAAATACATACTGCAACACTACAACACTTTCAACCAGCGAGAAGAGTGTGAGGTGATGACAAAAGGCTCAAACCACAGCACACTGTAACTTTGTGCATAAATGAATAGGACCCAGATGACCCAGATCTCTGTTAGCAAATATGATTAGTATAATCTCCAAGTCATGGTGAATTTATAATACTGTGCAATCAATCAAGTAATAGGACATACCTTCATAAATCAGCTGATCAATTGAATGACACCCAGTGAAAACAGAGCAAGTTGTTGGCTAAATATCCTGCAGGAACACGATGGAGATGTACATCCTAAGGTCCATCAGTAAATGCAGGTGTGACTAATGATTTAGTACCTTATACATTATGCTGACCTTCTGATTGTGTTATGCTTTAACAATGAAGAGGTGAAGGGTAAGCCTAAGAACCATAACAGATTGTAATGTTGATGGAATCTGTTAAGGCCCTGTGATTTAGCTGTGGATCATAGCGAGTCCTTCATGAGGTATGTGCACGTAGTGCAGCATGTTGAAGGGTGAGAGGCGTGGGAATTGGGAAATTCAGGAAGGAGAACAATTTTGATTGGCTACTAGGGCAGTGCACTGTACAGCATTATTACTATTGGTAGTATACACATTTATGTAAAAAGAACTATGGTATAAATTCTAACACTGCGGTCCAGTGATAAGTCCCTTTTTTCGGTGTGGTATTGAAGTAATTGCACATGGCGTAGAGCAGTTACATGAATGTAAGCTTGTAGACAATGAGCCTCATTTCACAAATGGGAAGATGAAATGGATACTCACACACAAGTTGATCTGTGAGAAGGCATTGCCTTCAGCAGGCATGGGGTTATCAGCTCGGCTACCAAACATTTGTTTGGGAACAGGGGGGAATATGTGATTGGATCATTGGACTGGCTGAAATCCAGTGACTCACACAAGTATGTTGTTGGTATGGGAAATGTAGCACAAATACCTTGAAGAAATGAATGGAGGTGGTCATAATCAGGGTCTTCTGAAAATGTGAGAGAGTGTGTGTAGATGAGCATGGTTGCGAATTCAACAGGAATTCCACAACATAGAACTTCAATGGTGGTATTTGCTTTGCGCTCAAGTATGGAAGTGTTGGATAGCTTCTCATGGTCACTGGTTAGCCATGGGAGGGAGCTGCGCAAAAAATAGATCAACATATATGTGAGCGACTCGAGATTGTCACGACAACCTAGCTCGACTCCTAAGTGACTATTGATCGAAGCAAAGGCAGGAGTGCCAGTAAAACATCAATTATGATGGAATGGTACATGGAGTCTGGTTGAAATGTCGCAGTATTCCTTCGCAACACCAAAATTGATGATAAAGGCCATGTGCCTCAATGATGGAGACCCACCACAACATTCTGTGGTTTTATATCACCATGGACATAGTTATGTGAGTGGATGTACTCGAGACATGAGAGCTGTGAATGGGTTAGCCTATCTGTAGCAACCCTACTGCAAATTGACTGACCAGCTGGTCTGCTAAGTTTACAACACTGTGCAGGGTGAATTTTCGATTGTGTTTAAGGAAAAGATCATGTAGCAAAGGCCAAAGGAGGTCAAGAACTAAAGCATGATATATTTATTCTCTGCCGAACCAAAGGGCACAGGGAATTCCAACTCCACCTTTGAGCTGTGTCAAAATATGATATTCACATTGCACAGAGGATGACCCGACAATGATAGGTTCAAGTTTGACAGCAACTGTATCATTGTTAATGATGTTTCATGCATGGTACACGACAGCTAAATGGTGGGGTCCATATGTTGAATCTGAATAAAAATATACTCAGTATGTGAAAGACCATCAGGAAAATGCAAAATTCATATAGGCACGTGCTACCCACAGCCACCTACATAGACCATGCCATCCTATATACACCTCGTAGGACATGTAGCCCTCATATATGCCAATGAAAGCCAAATAATTCAACAAGATAAATTACGCACTGTGCCTTTGTTTTTTTCTCAATCTCAATCTCAATCCTCTGAGCTCTTGTGCACGCCACCTGTTCAATGGTTTTCGCAAGGTAAGCCTCATGCGCCCGTGCCATGACACTCACAAACCAGCTTTCAGTACTCAAAAGCCGAAGTATTCGGACCAAGAAAATTTCCCACTGCTGGCAGTGAACTCACCACTGGCAAACACTGCCAAGCAGTAAGGACTGCCATCATGCTGGCTGTGTCTCACCAGTTTCTGACCTTAATTTCGTAGTGTTCATTCCCAGTCTCCGGACCATGTCGAAGAGTCACCTATCAAAAGGTGTGTCGTTTTAGTACCATGGTACCCCTGCTCACATTCTTGCAGGCCCAAACGAGAACTCAACAGGCAGATTCCCTTGGAGGCAGTCCAGAACCTCCTGCAAAACATCTCGCCAGGCCATCCTCCACTCAATTTCACCGACTTCCCTGCTGCCACCGTGATTCCTCACATGCCTGTACCCCCCTACCATGAAACTTCAACTTCTCTAGTTCCAACAACACCTGTCCATCCTCACCGCCAAACGCCAGCCCCTCTCACCGTCTCACAGAATTACATGCATAGACTTGTTGCAGAGTGTTGGGACACAGAAGCGAGATGTTGCGAAGAGGCTCGGAAAGCACAGCTCTTAGAAGTGCAACTTGCGGCACACGGAATCACCAAATTAGTTTAACATTGATGTGTTGCGAAATTTGTAAAAAGTGTACATATCTATCCATGAATTAAGGTAGAATGTCTTACAACTGTCCAACACATGCGCAGCAGCCCAACTCTTGTCCACTTGAGTACCAAATTTCAGAATGAGGTGACAGCTGTGAACAATATCGGACACAGGGATTACACTCGAGTGGGGCACATGACCAGCATAAGAACGAGAAACAGCATGCATGTGAAATAATTCGTCTTGTGCACGAAAAGGTTGGAACCATTCAACATAGGCTAGTTGATGTGGTTGTCCAACCACTCTCAGGTGACGTGGGATCTCAAAAATCAATTGAAGCTGCGCGATTTGAAGACCTAGTACATGCGAGTGTAAGTCCAAATTTTGTATATGAGTGATTACGGACCTTCCAATGCAGTCCCTTGAGTGTGCGCATTGTCTCCCCCAACACGTACAAGCACAGTGTCAAATTTTCCGACAGTCACAGATGAACGACCTGCTTGTGCAGTGGGGGGAGATGCGCGAATGTGATCGAGACCTTTTGACATGTGAATCGCGGGCAGCTTCATATATGGGATGGAAAGCCACTGATAACCCTCAAAACGATCCCATTCACTGACAATAGGTCCATTTGGAGCAGCAATGTGAAGATATTGTGACAGCACTGGCAAGAAATTCAGAGCACCGAATGTGTGCGTGATTGCAGCAATAGTCAATGCCTTGAATGAAGGACGAGCCGATAGGATGTGTATTGGCGACTGTGCACTGATGGCCTGGTCATTGGGTTGCGAGTCATCATTCGCAGGCTGAATACTCGTAGCTTCATCATTCGGGGCATCATTCTCGTTATCTTCGTCTTCCTCGTCTCCACCAGTTTGCGGCTCCTTGAATCTCTCCAAATGCCAGTCAAGGTAAGTGGAGAACTGGTCAACCATCTCCTGCCTCATCAACCATTTAGTCATCTGCACTACATAGTCTCGCTTGTTGGTCGCACGGTATGCATTTTTGGCAAAATCGATATGCAAACGTTCCAGGAACTCAGTGTTGAACCCATCTGCAGAACTGCATAATTTGATTGAGTCGACATAATGTAACATTGAATGGAGCTTCGGAATATTGAAATCGTCGCGCACTCCGAGATCCTTGAAAATGTGTTTATGTGCATGGAACTCGTCCAGTGCATTTTGGAGCGCATCTAGAGTCTGAGAGGTGTGAGAATGAAACTGAGCATAGAATATGAAATCAAGCACTGCACGCACTGCACGAAATACCGAAGGTTGTACTGCGCCTGCAAGGACACCAAGAAAGACTTGTTGCATTTCACGGTGCTCTGTTCCTGTCCACTGAGACACGAGTGAAATCCCTTTGGAGAAATAGCGAAGGCCAGGGTAGTTGGTCATTGTGCGATATCGTTCGTCAATCTGCTCTTCCCCCACAATCTCAGTACACCACTTGAGAAGATGGTCATGGAAGACTCCTTTATGGAGTTGATGTAAAATGTCTGGTGTCACACTAGCAAAGATGTTGGCGTGAGGAAGATCTGCCCAGAATGGACATTAAACAGGACGTAGGCCTTCTCGAGTATAAGCTGCTACTCTCCGGCCAGAACACTTGTGCTCTAGCATAGTCATCGTCCGATCTGGGTCACAGAGAAGGGAGTCAAGAGGTTTACCTCGATCGTCACGATGAACACGGCACTTGGGGCAAAAACTCTCTTTTGTGCATGCCACAAGGCACTGCTCAGGGTGATCTGCAACATAAGCCGCTAGGATAGGATGCACTCAACGCACTCTGCCATCAGCACAGACCATGTCAACTCCCACATGTCCAGCAGCAATCAAGGGTTCCAACAGACGGCGCATGCACTCATGAAACAGTTGGTAACCTGCAACTGACCGAGTGCCTTTGCTAAAGCAGTCCAGCTTGGCAACAGGCAAGTAACTGACTAAGATAGCGGCATGCATCCGCGGTTTTCGACGAGTCGACTTCTCAATGTTGCCAATGGTGAGATAGACGGGCCATGCTGATTTGTCTCCATGAAACTGAGACAGACTTGTCTTGTCAGATGCAAGAATGACAGGGGCTATCGTGGTACCTGGCGGTAGTTTGCCCTGTAGAATAGTCGTTGATTAGTAGTAAGCTTGGCTTCGAATATAATTTGAGACTCACCTGCATGTCCCACCACCAATCACAAGTCCACATCTCATCGTATATACGAACCTTGCCCTGACGATCTTTGTAGGCTCGTTCGGGTGCAAAGGCCATCGCATCCTTGAAGGCAGGATTTCCGATGAGTTTGCGAATGCATTCCACTGGATCACGGCGCCATAGCTCCAAGTCCGTTGTCAACATTTCCCCATCCCTGTCAAGCACATCTCCCGCGACCTTGATGAGGTCACAATGCCAGTCAGGGCCTTTCGTGGGAAGCCGATCAATCTTCTTCAAGAACGATTTGTTGGATGTATATGAGGGTCCGGTCCGGTCCTTGATCTTGGTAAGGAATTCCTTTGAGCCACGCAAACACCATCAATGAACATCACTTACAATCGGCAGTTTTAGAAACTTGTCGGTCTGAGTCTGCCCCACATTCTGTATCAGCCACTTTCCAAGCTCCCACTCATCTTCATCCTGAAATGGTCCCCACATCCCATCATCGCCGTTTTCTAATTCAGCTTGGATCCTGTGGAACTTGGTGGGTACATTCTCCTCATCCGTCGAAGGCACGCCTGCTGAAGCCTCCACAGGGTAGGAATCAATCCAACGTGCATTGCCAGGTACCTCAGGCTCTTCTACCTCGATGTAGGACACGAGCTGGCGCTGGGCTCGTATCGAGCTATTTTACAGTACACGTCAAATACCCATCACATGCTAATCACTTCCCGATGTTATCCGACGCTAACCCGCCAACCCGACGTTTAGGCCGCATCGGACCCGATGTTTTTCCCGCGCACTTGTCCTATCCGTGTCCCATCCTGTCTTGCTAGCCCCACTAGGTGTGTAGTTCATTATTTCGCACATTACTCACATCTGTTAAGAACGTGCTCAAAGGTCGGATCCGAAGGGCTTGGCTTCAGCTCGTGCGCTGCGCCCCTTACCCGAGTACGTGCCCCTAACTTCCGAGGGTTGTTGAACGATGTCCGAAGGTTACCGGACAATGTCCGGAGGGCGTCGGGCGATGTCCGGAGTCCGATGTCCGATGCGCGGGAATTCCGGCGGACGTTCGGAAACAAGAGATAAGACTAATCCGGACGAAGTCCGAACTAGAAAGGAAACAGCGGAGGACTACCAGAGGTAGAGGCGGAGGTGTCAAGTCTATAGGAGTCGATCCTAAGACGAGCGGAGGTCGACGAGAGAGAAACTCAAGTCGGACGGAGGAGAGAATGAGCAGAGTCTAATATGATATTCGAACTGAGGAAACTACAGAGATTGTACAGGGGTTTATATACTACTGAGGACATAACGGAGAATAGTAAGTGCAGTGCGAAGCTATGTAAAGCTATGAAGAAAACATATGGTACGACTATCACTAGTCTATCGGAACTTAGTAAAATGAAGACGGAGATGAATGAGGAACGGAAAATAAAGCGTACTAACTGATAAGGGAAATACCAAAGGGATAAGGCACGGAAGTTAGACGCGGGTCGGATCCGGACGATACATAGAAGTCGGCCGGATCCGGAAATCCGGAAATGATGAGTGTGATAGGTCCGGGTCCGGAACGCGGGATATGACAACATCGTAGCCAGCGCTATTACATGTTTTCCCATAGTCCGCAGCGCCTCATGTTTATTTACATGTACTTCGGATCCGAAATACTCCGCCGCTACTTTCGCCTACGGGTTCCGCATTTCTACGTACTTACTTATATATTGGACTGACCTCGAGCATTATTCATTATCCAAGTAGAGGGGAGCAGTTCCCCGATGCTTAGTGGTCAAACCCGATATTTCGTAGTTCTTAGTTGACATTGCGAATATCATCGTTCCTTCACTGCCCGTATCAGTCATTGTTATTATTGCGCACACCGCTCGCTCTTCCGACGCTCGCTATAGCGTTACTATTAGTTTCCGAAAGACCCGAATCCGAACCCGAAACCCCGAAAACATCGGACCCGACGCTTTTGCATCGGACATCGTAATTATACCTTCGGACATTGTTTCCCGCGCTCGGACTATTGATCACACATCACTCACTTACCCCCAAGACTATTCCCAGACCGCAGACCCCTGGGTCGAACGCACTTGTCAGGCAAGTATAGCAGACTAGGCAGTGCAAAGACCACAACACAGATATATCAGTTTGGAGCCATCTTCGTATAGCCCCACTCAGTTTAGTTGTTTCTACATTGACTTGGACTCGATGTTGACGAGGAGGAGGAGGAGGACTTGGAGGTAAGTTTTCGGAGTCTTGCTCTGGAATATCGTTGAATTCATTGGCCATATTGTTGTCTTCTAGACCATCATCACTGCTATCATCCTGCTGGGGTTCCGCAAACCCCCCACCAAGATCAAATACATTGACACTGAAATTTTGGAGTCATTCAAGCCACTTTGTGCGACAACTTGGGGACCTTGTAATGTGCTTGTTAAGTCTGGACATGGTCAGGACCCATTGGCCACAATCTTTGCATGTAGGCATGTTGAAGTAAGTGCCTCTCGGTCTGAAGCTGGCCAATACTGACAATTGTGTCAAATTTTTGCGATCCCTGCCAACTATATTGGTCATTTGCTCTCTCGATCTTGGCTCTTCCCCAGGCACACCCACAGTCTCAATCCCAGCCCTGCCCACCATATTGATCATTGGCTCTCTCGATCTTGTCTCTCGCCCGCCGACCATATTGATCATTTGCTCTTTCGATCTTGTCTCTTGCCCACCCACCATATTGATCATTTGCTCTTTCGATCTTGTCTCTTGCCCGCCATTGATCATTTGCTCTTTCAATCTTGTCTCTTGCCCACCATTGATCATTTGCTCTTTCAATCTTGTCTCTTGCCCGCCATTGATCATTTGCTCTTTCAATCTTGGCTCTTCCCCGCACACCATATTGATTGTTGGCTCTTTCAATCCTCGCCAAAAAGGTTCCCGTTCCTTTCCAAGGACACCAGGGGTCAACTTGTCTCTCTCTGTCATGTCAGGTCAAGGTTTGGACCTGTCCTGCATCCTCCCGTGGATGGGTTATCCAACTGATCTGTTTTTTTCTCTTGTAATCACAGTCATTTCTTGACTTTGATGTCTTCCCGCAGCCGCAAGAAAAAAGTGCAGGGTGGTCCTGTCCCCACCAATTGTGGTGATATTGACAATCAAGCCACTGATCTGCAGCAAAACTTCAACATACCGGAGCAGTATGACGCTGGTGATACCTGCAACATGCGTGTACGTCGTAATACCACCAAGAAACAAGCTCAAGGTAATGTTTCATCTATTGGAGTGACTCAGCCATGCATCCTTACTCACCATCAACATGCAGAGGACGCCTCAAATGAAAAGCAGGCAAGGAAAATCAATAGATACGTCCATCAAGCCCTCAGAAACAGGCAGGCACTCGAAGAGATCAATGGATTTCAGCCTTTGGATTCGGAGTCTCGTTTGGACCCAGAGTCTGAACAAGAAGACTTAGATCTTGAACAAGATGTGGTATGTGTTCTGCTATTGGTGTTTTATGGTGTTTGCTGAAAGATGGTCCCCACTCATGTAGTTCACGTTCAGAGCTGTACAGCCAAGTGCGACACATAAGCCAACGCCCACTCTACCACCGGTACCACTGACTCTACCCCCACGGCTCACTCAGCGGACCACTCACATTCCCTTAGCACCAGTGAGACGTGTGCAGCCATCTGATAGTGTTATTGACCCTGCACTATTAAGACATGTGCGGCCATCTGACAACATGATTGACCCAACACTCTTGCCTGATCATGGGTCTCAGGACCATGTTTATTCACAGCTGGTTAGTATTTTTATCTTTGCTACTACTTTGATCAAGCTTCGAGCCTAACATTACATGGTGTGAGGCTACACCTCAGCAAAATGGACAGCCCTATGTGCCACCAACCGACCACCTGAGAGTTGGGCATGATACAGAGTGGCCAGGGGAGTACGCTGACATGTCATCTCCATCCGAATCACTTTCAAGACGGCTGGTGAACTCAGGGCGAGGGCATAGTAGTACCGGAGAGTTGTTGATGTACAGTCGTGCCGAGTCTGAGTCTCCTGCATTGCAGCACCCTCGTGTCCGTGCGCTTACACCTTCCAGACAGCCCCTGCTTGCAACAGCTGGAATCAAACGTGCAGGCCATCCTGCGCTCACTACCATTGAGGGACTCCAACTCGTCAAAAAAGTCAAGATGGGCGAGGGCGGTACTTGGGGGCGTGTGCGATCAGCTGACTTCAACAAACTCTATGCATCAACGATCCATCTTGCAGTCGGACATTATCAATCAATTCTCGCCAATACAACAATTTATCCTAATGATATAGAGGCACACGACTGGTCTGGCCAAGCATGGGCGGCAGCTTGTCATTCTCAAGGTGTTCGGATTGATTATGATGAGGATGCTTATAAGTTGGTAAGTTTTTTGTTCTGATTGCTATGACTCGCTCCAATGATATGTATAGATCACAGAACATGGCTCTAATCTACGCAGTGACCTCAAGACTGCTCTGCAACCACTGGTTGAGACAGAGTTTGGTTTCAAAAACGACAAAACTCCAGAGGCCATCAGATTCAATGCAGAGCTCGCATCCACTCTCCTTGGAAATCACAAGCTCTTCACATGCAAGGTGACCATACACATACATTCTTTGTGTTCGGTGGTGTGAACTGACTATGAACTAACAGAACCGCAAAGCAGGCAAAGGTCTATTTGAAGCGGACATCATCCTCAAGGGCATCACCAAATGGTGCTATGATAGGAAGAACTCGTTGGGTGCCACACTGACAAGCTACTTCAAGGACACTACTACTGGTGGGGCGAGTTTGGGTATCATTGCGGCAGTCCTTACTGGGGTGAGTGTTCGGTGACTAGGCTTGATCTCATGACTAATTGGCTATCATAGATCGAGGCTTGTGTGGTGGAGTGGACCACCAGCACCAAGATTGAATCACGCTTCTACAAAGAGTGCTATGCTGCCATCTTCGAGACTTACTACAAAATGCTAGTCGACTTTGATGAGGGTACGAGACATGCAGACATTTTGCCCAAGATTTGCAAGAGGCTTCTGAAACATGCTCGGTGTAGAAACAACAATACTGCGAGGAGCAAATGAGGCTCCAGGCTGTATCTATAAGTGTTGTGGGGTCGCGCGTTGCCTAGTCTGCCGTACTTGAGATGACAAGTGTGTTCAACCCTAAAGGGGAAGCGAGTGCAGCAAAGATCTGGTAGTGTGCGCTGAAGCGAAGCACGAGAGAGCGCAGGTGCACGCAAGGTGCAGGAACGCGCGCGCGTGCTGCGCAAAGCGCGGGAAAGTACGCGTGTGTATGTGGAGACGATAAAGACTAAGAGCAAGTTGGCTTAAGTGATGATATGATGCAAGATAAAAGTTGAGAGTGCAAGGTGTAAACAGATAGATTTCTACTGCAACTTTCTAGGTAGTAAGTGGTAGCTCCAGTAGTGGTGAAGTCCAGTAAAGTGAAAAGTGGTGCCAAAGTAAAGTGGTGTAAAAGTATGTAATGCTGGCGCTTAAGTATGGCGCCTAAGCGCTGTCATGCGGAGCCGAAGTGCTACCGAGAAAGGTATGTAAAGATATATGTAAGTAAGGGTCCATGGTAATAATAAGAGTGGAACGATATGCAAATATGGGAAATGGAAATATACGCACTAGAGAGCTTGGTGGACAGTGGATGGACGCGTCTGGATGGCTGGTGCTATAGGGCGCTCAAGCGCGGGAACGCGCGTGCGCGCATATACATCGCAAGGCGTGGGAAGTGTGCGCGCATTGCGCGGGAAAGCTGCGCCTCGTATAGGAATAGCTGCAGGTAGCATACAGAGTGATGCTGCAAGTCGTGCTGTGTACTCCCT